TTCCTACTGGGGAAATAGCACCAACAGAGGTCTCTTACTTAACACCGCATCCTGAAGAATGACACCCTGTTCTTTCCAAGTGTTGCTTCTTAGCCAGTGCTTCATTATCAGTATTGTTAGCTGGCTGTTTCTGGATGGTACAGTATTATATGACAAGACCAACAGACCCCCATGGTCATGGATCCATTTCTGCAATGCCTTCACTGGACAGTAGGTCCCCTGGGTCAGATGCTATACTATGCAGTAATCTGTGCCTCAATCTGGCATTCTGCCAACAGAGGCTCTCAGAGTAAGGAAGTTAAATTCACACCCACAGTAGGTATCTATTCCCATAAGGAAGAACTGCTGGCCTTTTCAAGAGGAAGGGGCCCATTTTAGCTGACTTGCCACAAAGCAGCTGCTCGATCTTCTCTAGGAATAGGGCATATCAGAGACTCAGCGTTCGTCCCTGTTGCTGACAGGTTGGACGTTCAGAGGCACCCTTGGTGAGTGGCAGTCCACTCTCCAAGACAGAAGTCGGTCCCATATGTAGCCTCCGTCTCTGCCACTAGGACCACTCCATTCATGGGCCCAGCTTATTAGGTCTGTAGCGGCTGAACGCTGGCTGTCAACTGGTTGTCACTGAATTACTTGGTTGTTCAGTGCCTCTTCCATGGTGGAGGCTTTCTGGTGGGCATTGTTTTGTAATAAAAAAATTTTTCACACATTGTGCCTTCTCCATATAGCCCAACCACATGCCGTTATCCCAGAACAGTCTGTTGGACCCTGCCCAGGCAATCTGTTTATATTCTCACCTTAAGCCACTTCTTCCACACAAAGTAGAAAGATCAGGGCACAGCTTGAAGCTCTACTCACTGGAATATTTGTCACTCTCCACCATCTTTCAGAGTCCTTCTTGCATCCTTTAGATTTTAATAGTGACACTAATCACCATCCTCCAACCTCCATCCCTCAATAAGACCTTGTTTGTTTGTTTGTTTTTTTTTGGTTATGCCTTGTGGCTTGGAGGATCTTAGTTCCTTGACCAGGGATTGAACCTAGACCATGGCACTGAAAGTGCCAGTCAGTGGCTGGAGAGCAGTTACCAAGGTTTACATTTGGCCTTTCCTGCCATAACTCTTACCCCACAAGCCAGAAACATGTTGCTAGATTGTTTTCACAGTAACTTCCTGTTTCTAGATTATTCTAGATCCTTTCCAGTTACATATTTGGGGGCTGGGGAATGACCACTGGATGGGTTCACACCATTGTGAGCCATAATCTGGCCAGGACTCTTATTTATAGTACAGGGTCCCCACAGGCCAGGGACCTATGTTGATAATTTTGGTCTGATACCAAAGACAACTCGATCAAATATCCAAAAAGTCTTCAAATATATGGTTATTTCTCTTGTCAGTGTATAGTCGCAGGTAAATGGCCATGAGTCTCTGGGGAAAAGACTGAAGGAATCATACACTTGGGTGGTGTCATAGCGTCTATTCCTAGGTTCACAGGTACTTGTTCATCAATGGGTTCTGAATCTGAAAACTGGCTTAGGTCTAAAAACAGCAAAGGAACATGTGCTGTGGGGATGACCAACTTTAGCCTTCTGTTTCTCCTTTCCTGTGGACTTTTTGTTTATAGATGTTTAAAAGCACCCTCTTTGGCTGTGTCTATTCTGCTCCCGGGGATGCTATCTTTTATTGGCTCTCTCTCCCCGGTCCCCTGATGGTCATTTGGTCAGTTCTTCAGTCTTGCTGGTAATAATGATAATTGTGGTCTCCTGGCTTCTGAAAGTAAAGCAATGCCACTTGGTCTTTATTATTCTTGGGCCTCAATCACCCCATCTTCCCACATTTCCTGGAACACTCCTGGCATCACCTATGTTATCTAGGTCTACCAGGAAGCAGAAAACCAAAGAGGATTAAACATCAACAAAAAACCAAACAACCCAATTTAAAAGTGAGCAAGGGACTTGAATAAACATTTCTCTAAAGAAGATACACAGCCAATAAGGACATGAAAAGATGCTCGACATCACTAATCGCTAGGGAAATACAAATCAAAACTACAATGAGATACCACCGCACACCATTCAGATGGCTACTGTCGAACAAACAAACAAAAACCCCAAAACAAAAAACGGAAAATAAAAAGAGTTGGAAAGGATGTGGAGAAATTGAAACTCTTATGTATTGTTTGGCAGGAATGTAAAATGGTACAGCTGCTGTGGAGAAACAATATAGCAGTTCCTCAAATTAAGAACCGAACTGCCATATGATTCAACAATTCCACTTCTGAGTATATACCCAAAGAACTGAAAGCAGCGTCTCAAGAGATTTTGTACACCCATGTTCACAGTAACGTTATTCACAATAGCTAAAATGTGGAAGCACCCCACCTGTCCACTGACAGATGAATGGATAAGCAAAATGTGGTATACATGTATACAATGGAGTACCGTTGTCTTAAAAAGAAAGGAAATTCTGACACATGCTACAACATGGATAAACTTGGAAGACATTAGGCGAAGTCAAATAAGCCTCTCACAAAAAGACAAATACTGTATGATTCCACTTAGATGAGGCCATTAGAGCAGTCAAATACCCAGGTATCACCCTGTGTGGTGATTCCAGCCTTGGCACCCAGAAACCCAAGACAAATGAGGGCATTTGGAAGAATGTAAAATGTCACAAGTACATGACTGTCTGCTTTAATTGTGAATGCTAAGTATAGAATATGTAAAGTAAGTATAGGATACGTAAAATTTAATCAAACACCACCTACATGTTTTCTCTCGAACTTGATTTTTAACCTATTTCTTCTCCTATAAATTGGAATAACAATATTTACTCCACAACATTGTTTAAAAATGAATGTATTAGAAAGGGGCTGTGTAAACTACAAAGGGATAAACAAGAGATTGTTACCAACAAACAAACTGATTAAAGGACGAGGACACACAAATGTTTATTTTTATAAATTTCACTTACAGTCAACCACTGAGATGGGAAACCAAGGAAAGAATACTATGGAAGACAAACAGTGGTGTTAGGTTTCTTAGTAATTTGGGGTTTACTTCTTTACCAGGCACTTTTTACCTCTTTTTTTATTGGAGCACATGGCTTCATGACAATATTAAACTTATGGATTTAGTCCTCCTGCGATCTAGTGTACTCTGTTTGCTGTTCAGCTGGAAAACATTTTCAGCCTTTCCAGTCTAATCCCAGAACACCATGATTTACAGCAAAATGAATTCCTGAACTGAACAAAGAAATTGAGGCAAGTGGCCAGAGCTGTGCTGAGCAGAAACCCAGGAGTCCACACGTGCCCAGTGCCGCTGCTACTGCCAGGAGCACTGCCAAAGACTAGGAGAAAGAGAAGAGGAAGTCCTCTCCTCCCCACACAGAAGAGTCTTCTGGACTTAGAGACTAATAGGAAGCCAGCAAGCAAATGTAGTTTACAGGATTTAGACCCTTGAATCTGAGAGTAAACAGACAAGTGACCAGTGCTGGGGACTTAAGAGGCAACAGTAAAAGAGAATTGCCAACTACTGCCTCAACTTACTTCATTAACTTAAATAAGATGTTTACTTTCGATCCAAGGGCCATCCTGTGTAATTCTGACTCAGTACTACATGAAATGAAGAAATCTACAAGGCAGTCTGGGATTAGACCCCTTTTCCAAAAGGCACACAGGTTCCTGCCTCTAGCATTCAAAGAGACAAAAGACATCAGGAGCTGAAACATATGGTAAATGCTTTATTTTCATATTTTATGTTAAAACATAAAACACAAACATTAGAACATAGGACATGAATAGAGATCCCACTGTCTGGTTTTCAAAGCAGGTACAAGGATACAGATAACAAGAAAATATTTTTGAGTCTGTTTAATTCCAAACCCTCAAATGGGAAAACAATCTCAGAGACTGGGTGAGGGAAGATGGTGGGGCAGAGCCTGCATCTATAGATGTCATCTCCGCTGCCAGGTGGAGGGGAGCAGGGGTGAGGGGAAGTTCTTCCATTGGAGACATCAGTCACAGTCACAAAAATTTTTGTTTCTCAAACATCTAAACTTACTAGGAGAATGCAAGGACTGGTAAGGCATGAGATTCTTCCAACTTCTCTAATAATACAAGTCCCTTGGTTCCTACGCTTGGGGGTGGGGATGGATTTCAATCAGCATCAGCTAAGTGTACTTCAACTTTAGTCAAATCCTAACCCTGTGCCACATTCTGCCCTAGCCAAAGACTATGGCAGCCAGGGCCTGACCACTTGTTTCCTCTCTCTCATCATCTGCTGAAACCAGATTGTTTTTTAATTCAAATCCTTTTCTGCCCCTGATGCTCCAGGCCTGGGCAGTTAATCTTAATCATCAACGTATCAAAAGGTTATACCTCTTCTAGAAAGGGGAGGTCTTTCCCAGGTTCTGGAAACTGGCTTTTTGAAAGATGTCCTTAAATAGAAGAAGGCCATTCTTTAAAAAACACAACTAGAACATGAAACTCTGGGGAAATCTACTGCAATAAGCCCCTGCTGGTGAGAAATGCTGGCAACAGCTCAGGAGTTGACAGATCAGAACTGTTTTAAAATAAAAATAATGATAACATTTCTACAACAATTATTTAAGAAAATCACAGTTAGTCATCCTGCTCCCAAGAACAGGGAGCACGCCTTGAGACATGTTCTGTGGTGGAGAGTAGTTTAGTAGAGTAGCCTTTTGCAAAGCAAACAGATATAAACTGAACCCTCTACTAGAGAAAAATACAGCTCCAAAAGTGGGACAATCCAGGGTTGGAATGAAAGCTGGTGGGCATCTCCCTGCAATCCACGCAGGCCTCCAACCACTGTTATCTTCCTGAGAAAAACTATTTTACTAAAAACATTTTCTTAAAAAAAGTTAGGGAAGGAGGCAAATCAGAGGAATTTGGAATCAAACATCAGATTCACCTGGTGGCAGGTTTTAACCTGGGAATTCTAAACAGGCTCAAGAATAGCTCCTTACTCCAAGGGGTGGGCTTTATTCAGAGAGAAACTCTTTAAAAATGCGAGACAAGTCCTCTTCTGCTTTCAACAGCAGTCTAAGCAGCTTCTCTTTTGTAAGCCTCTCTTGGTGAGCCCCTTGCTCCTGATCTCTCATACTAGTAAGAGCTTTGACATATGGCTCATCTTTTCCTAGTGAGCACAAAGAGTGGCTTTCAAAGCACTGGCTAATATAAAACCAATCCTGAGATCTTAGCTGGCTAGAAAAAAGTGAGTCTTCCCCACTGCTCAAACAACTGGTCTCTCTCCTTGATTCGCACAGTGTGATGAACCCCATACACTTGGCATCAGCTGCCGCCATCACTGGGTTTACCACTGTTCTGGCACTGCACACCTGAACAAGGCTGTTCCTGCTACAGAGCAGACCAGATGAGCTCTGCCACACAGTTCTGTGGGGATGAGACCAAGTTACCAAAAGATTATCAGCCTACACGGTCAGAAAGAGGTCAAATCCTTCAGAAGACTGTAGAGTGCCCTCTTGTGCTCAACTGAAGACTTCTACATCCACGCTGCATCCAAGGAGCATCAAAATGGTTAGTCCCATCAGGAACATAAGCATTCCCAAGTCATGCAGTCAAGTGACAAGACAACTTGGGTGGGATGTCACGTCCGGAGATGCTCAGTGTACATTCATATCCTAAGTGACTGCAGGGAGGATACTCTCTCCAAGGCCCAGTAGAAAGTCTGGTCAAACATACTGATTCTCAATAAAGATTCATGAGGGCTTTTAACCCAAGAAATGGATAATGTTGATGGAGTACCCATCACTTACTCTTTTGATGGACCTTGAAGATACACCATCTATAGTGTTTTGTTGACCTGGAATCCCAGGATCATATTAACCTAATGGAACCACGATCCCACAAGTTCTAGGCCACAGACAATAAGCACAGATCTTGCTCAGGGCTGTGAGGTACTAGCAAATAACATGTAGCATTAACCAGCAACATGATTGATAAGTTTCAAGACCATGGTCACTCCCACCTATAGATGTGGACTGTCTTTTCTGTTAAGGTAGCCAAGTAGCTGTTATGATTCACCTCAAATGGGCAGATGTCCAAGACAGGCTGATCGGCCTGCAGATCCTGAAGCAATGAGCCACTGGCAGCATCCCACAGCTGAAAAAGAAGAGATAAAGGTCATGAGTCCTTCAATTCAACTCGGGACTTGCAGTCTTTATCATCACACAACTCTGAAAGCACTGCAGAGACAGCACTGCCCAAGGAGTAAAACAGAATGTCCCTAACCTTCACAAGGTTGCACAAAAGCAGCACATCTGACATAAGTCACGCACGGCCTCACCTACTATAATTCGCTAATATGGTCTACCTGTGAGTGGATCTGAAAACCAAGCCTAGTATTCTCCCCTTCAGTCTATGTGCCAAGAACTCTCTTAGGGGAAACAAGGATCAACGAGACAATAAGTCCCTATCTCTGCCCTCATGGAACCTGTATTCTAACTGCTGCTTTCTTCTCCTTTAAAAAAATTTTTTATTATGGACAAAAAATTCATGTAATAAAAAGTAGAATAGTACTATGAGTCATCACCCAGATGACTAAGTTTTTACCATACCTGCTTTATTGTTTTTTTCTGTGCTGACATCATGTCATTTTACCCTTATACACTTAAGTATACATTTCTTAAAAACAAACAAACATTTTCCTACATCTCATTGTCACTATGCCTAACAAAATGAACAGTAATTTCATAATATTCTCTAACATATAGTGCAAAATAAAAATTTTCTGATAGTCTCTTTTTATATTGGTTTTGTTTGATTCAGGATTCAAATAAGGTCCACATTACCCTTGGTAGTCATACATTTTAATAAGCCTCTCTTAATTTGAGCAGATCCAACCTCCCCACTCTTTTCTCCTTCTGCCACTGACTTGTGGAAGCAGGATCTGTTGTCCTACAGAAGGTCCACAACCTAGATTTGTTTGTTGCTTTCTGTGCTATTACTTAACTTATTCTCTTATCCACTGCAATTCCAGTAAATAAAAGCACTAGACTGAAGAGTGACACTATCCAATATGGCTGCCATCAGCCACATACACCTCTTTACATTTAAATTACATAAAAATTTAACAATTAAGTTTTTCATTCACATTAACATTTCAAGTGATCACGTGGCTAATGTGACTTAACTGGACAGTGTTGTTCTATGGGTTCAAGGACATCTAGGCATCATGTACTTCATTTTGCCTTACACCAAGAGGCAAATTATTTCTGCTTAAGCCACTAACAGTGACACAATAGTTGATCATTTATTCAGGTGGTAACAGGCTGACCCCTCCACTGTAAAATTTCCCATCAACCTTTCATCTGTTACTGTCATCTTGAATTGATCAACTATTTTATAGAGGTTTCAGTAGTGCCTTTTTCCCCCTAAAACATATAGCTATATGTCTATCATCACAAAACTTTGAAAGCACTGCAGAGAAAGCACCCCCTGGGGGGGTAAAACTGCCTGTCCCTAACCTTCACAAGGTCGCACAAAGGCAGGATATCTGACATAGGTCACGGAAAACACTACAGCTCACATATAAAGAATGATGTCAATCTATAGATATTGGTATGGAAAGATAACCAAAACAGGAAGTTAAATGGGAAAACAGTATGTATTGGGTTGGCCAAAAAGTTCCTTATGTTTTTTTTTCCCCTTATGTTTTTAAGTAAAAATAAAAGACCATTTTCATCAAGAACTTTCTCAAAAGTTTTGTTATACTACCTTCTGCCATTTTTCAGGCAACTTCATAACTTTATCTTCCAAGAACTTTTTATCTTTTTGAGCAAAGTACTATTCTAAGTGCTTTTTACAGTCTTCCACAGAATTGAAACTTCTTCCATTAAGAGAATTTTGTAAAGACTAAAATAAATAAATGGAAATACAAAGGTGCAATGTCTGGTGAATAAAGCGGATGAATAAGAACTTCCCAGCCAAGCTGTAGACAAATTTTGCCTGGTCATCAAAGAAACACACAGTCTTGGATTATCCTGATGGAAGAGTATGTGTTTTCCGTTAATTCTGGACACTTTTCATTGAGTGTTGATTTCAGTTGGTCTAATTGCGAGCAGTACTTGTTGGAATTAATCGTTTGGTTTTTTGGAAGGAGCTCATAATAGAGGACTCCTTTCCAATCCCACCACATATACAATATCATCTTCTTTGGATGGAGATGGCCTTTGTTGTGGTTGATGGTGGTTCATTTTGCTTGCCCCAGGATCTCTTCCATTCCACATTATTGTACAGTATCCACTTTTCACTGCCCATCACAATTTGTATTAAAAAAGAGAACATTTTCATTACACTTCAGTAGAGAATCACATGCAGAAATACAGTCAAGGTGTTTTTAACTTAACTTACGTGGAACTCAGACACCAAAGTGATTAACATAATCAGGCTGATATAAATGATCTTCAACGCTTGATTTGGATATTTTGAGTATGCTGGCTATCTCCTGCATGGTATAATGTTAACTGTTCTCATTTAATGTCTCGATTTGATTACTATCAACTTCAACTGACCTACCCGACTGTGGAGCATCGCCCAGTGAGAAATCTCTAGCACAAAACTTCGAAAACACTTTCGACATGTTCAGTCACAGCACTTTTTCCATATACTGCACAAATCTGTTTCTGCATTTCAGCAAAGTTTTTACCTTTCTTGAAATAATAAAGCATAATATGCTGAAAACATTGCTTTTTTCCCTTCCACTGTCAATATTAAAATGGCTACACAAAAATTCACCAATTTTGACAAGTCTTATTTTTAATACACACTGATATGATAGCTGTCACAATACAATCTAACAAAATTGTTTCAAATGGAGTTAAAGACAACTATGTGCTACTAGAGCCACCAACAGAAAAAAACAAACTTTTTGGCCAACCCAATAAAGTGTGACTTCTATAAAAAATAAACTAAGCAACCACACATATACACATATGAAGGTACGTGCAATTATGGAGAACTTTGGTTTTTTGCTTTATACACATCAGTATAAAAAACTGACTGACTACTCACCAGGGCCGATTTTGATGCTTCATCCCCAGTACACACCAGGATGCTGCCATCATTCTCTGGATTTTGGAAAATGGCACTCTTGGTTAGCAATTTGCAGGAGGGTCCCCCAAGGAATGTTTGTACAGGATGGCAGGAACAGATGGGCTCTCCAGCATTATCCAGTTTATAGGACATCTCCATGAGCACACTTCGTAAGGTGTTGTGATTTTTATCTAAGAGAAAGAGAAATCAGTATTGATCTGTAGGGATGGTCCAAAGAAATTAAGCAAGTACCTAAACTTGGTTGTAACTCAGTTGAGTAGAAAAGGCAGTTTTATCAAACCTTCATGAATAGCTACCAAACATAGTAAGAACAAAATGACATAGCACAAATCAAATTCAGAACTCTGGGCTATAGGATGAAGTAACTTATCTACAATAGGTTTTGTCTACGAGGGAAACAATTCTGAGAATGAGCTAGCCTTTTTAGGAAAATCACTGTATCCAGCTGGACTTCTGTTTGGGTTTTTATCTTCCTTAAGAGTTCGGGCTACAAGGTCTTTCCCTTCCCCCAGTGAGGACCTCACTAATACCCAGAACTGTACAAATACAGCAAAAGCATATTATCACAGAAGGGGAAACGTATCACTGTGGTTCAGATGAGAGACAAACAAAAGCTAGAGAACAGAATGGGATCTCCAAGCTTTCTACATATCAAAGCAAATCCGTGGAGATAGACGACCTAGGAGATGGGTCCAAAAGGGAAAGGAGAGTCTGCTGACACAGCTTCTAAGCTCAAACAAAACTTAAAATGATTAGGTCAACCCACAACTAGCAGAAGTATGGGCACTTTAATGACTATTTCTGACCAAAACATCTACTTGACCATCAATATAGCTCACCAGATTAGATTCGTTATCTTTCAGCTAGAAAAAAAACCTGTGTATTTAAGCATAGTTGGTCAAGGGTTGCAGTCCTGGTTCTGGAAGCTGTGAGAAGTTCAGCTGGCTAGGACCACCATGGTTGTCCATCTACTCCCCCACTTAACTTTGGGGCCCCAAATAAGGAAGAACAGCTAACAGCTTAGCGTCTGGGCCCTCTACATGACTGCTTTCATCTGGGCCTTCCTTGTAAGTGAAGTGAGTGGCAAGCAGAAGACATGAAACTGATGTAAGGGTAGCTCAGAGGCTGGAAGAGCAGGTCTCCTAATTCCATCACTGTTGTAAGTCAGAGAGGATCCTAAAGCAGCTAATTCCACTTCCAAGGAGTACCTGGCCAAGTATGTCCCAGTTCACACAAGCGAGGGACAGGGAGGCAGGCTCCACAGCAAGAGCTGTTAGTCCGTGAGGGGCTGACCGGCACCACCTGAAAGCTAAGGCAAGCTCTCCTTTCCTCCCCTCTACCAACCTGCTTCCAAACCAACCAAGCCATGAGGACACCCCAACAACACTCACCAGGCCTGTAGGTCACAAGACAGTGGCAGGTGCTGCTCTCTACCTGAAAGTCTACACAGCCCCCAGGCTCCACGGGCAGCACATGAGGCCAATGAGTAAAACCCATTTTCAGCTCCCAAAAAGAGGCATTCTCCAACGTTCCAGCCAACACTCCACCATATGGAAATGCAGCAGAGGCAGCTCTGGGTACATATGACAGGGATACCAGTGGGCATCTGAAGGGAAAAAAAGGAAACAAAGTCTCACCTGCCAATATCTGAACTACTTCAGGCCCCACTATGAGGAGTCAAGGACACTACTACCTCTATAGAAGAAATTTTTGTGAGTCACTGTCCTCTGATATCTGATAAAAACTACCAACCCACTCTGTAGGAACAAAACGGCATATATATAATATTCCACACCCAGATTCAGAGGAGATTCTGCATGCTCTAAAATCAGTGGGGAAAAAACGGAGTAGGAAATTTAACAGTATAAGATTACAAACACAAGGTAGCCTGACTGGTGTGAAGCTTCTGGAAATGGGGTTAGACACACACACACAAGAAAAGTCAGGAAGAAATTCAGCTCATAAATGGTGGAGTTGGGTTCTGAACAAAGTAGTGATTTTATTTTGGCACACTGTGACATGTAATTCTGTTAATCTGGTTATACTTGGTACAAGGACTTTCTGCCATGTCAACTATCATGAACACAAACTCTAGGGTCTTACTGATTCTGAAGTGAGAACAGATCAGAGGACTCAGAGATCTGCCCTCTGTGAGAAATTCTGATCAACTGTGCAACACTAGTAAAAGAGAGGATTAATATAATAGTCCAAGAGAAAGCTGTTCCTTTCAGGTGGCTCCCTACCTAGCTCTCTGAGGTACTAACTCCTGGACATGAGAGCTTGTATTTCGAAGGTCATACAACAGAATTGAACCATTGACCAGTCCAGCATAGACGTAATTGTTTTCATCGAGACACCAGCAGCAGCTCCAGACAGGCCGCCCAGCATTGTAAGTCTGGACCACGGTATTTGTTTCCAGGCTGTAGAGTTACAAAAGACTTTTACAATTATGCATTACAAAAATCAAATACAGACAAAGATGTAAAGATAAGAACACACCCACACACCAAAACTATATGGATTCCCAATTTGCCCTCAGGTCTGCGGACAGAACTCCTCTTAATTCCACAGTATTTGTTTTGGAGGATACAGATTTTCCTCTTAAGCTGTAAGGAAGAATAAGTTAAAGGGACAGATAAACTGTACATTCCTTCCCCTGATCCTATATCCTTCTCCACGGCGACCTATGACACAGGTATTCAATATTTAATACTGAAAAATTAGAAAACACATATAAGAAAAATAAAAAGTTATAATCCAACTATACAGAGGTAGTCATTAATGACACTCTGGTGTTTAACCTCTCTTTTTTTCCTTCTATTTTTCAATACTACTAAAATAAGTCAGAGCATATATATAAAACATAACAGAATTGATACACTGAGTTTTGGGGTAAAATTAAGCTTAAGCATTCTTGAAAAGTCAAAAGATATATATCTGCATGGTTTAAGATATATTTTGTAGCATATGTAATTTTAAAAGAAATGGACCACCACACATTCAGTTTTGCAACAAGCTGTGTCCACTTCTTAAAGCAATACATTTAAAATTCAATGAACCTGGATCTGAGAAAACAATGCCTTGGACAGCTCCCATCCCATCCCCACCCCAAAAGCCAAGGTCATCATAACACAGATACTAATTTCCAAGCTATTCAACACTAGGCATCCCAAGGCCCATCTTCCCCACAAAGCACTAACCTGGTCAGTTTAATTGTGCTGTCCAGGGAAGCAGAGAGAAGTAAGCCTTTGGATCGACTGCTGAAAGCCAGTCCACGTATTTGTTTGCCATGCATAGGAATATACTGACTGCTTTTCATGTTGGCAGTACTCAACATCTTAACACCAAAGCCTGCCAAATTTATGAGAGTGAAACAGATCACTGAAAGTCGATTTAGGGCAAAGAAAACTACCATTTCAAGCAACACCTTTGTTCACCTTTCTTGGCATGTCAGTTTCTGGGGTAAAACTAGTCGAACAAAGAAAATAACTCCCAGGTTATAACTTATTTTAACAAGTATATGCTATACCAAATGTCTATCAAGTATATGAGAAACCATCATATATACATACAGTGGAATACTACCTAGCAATAAAAAGAAATGAACTACTGACAGACACAATAATATGGATAATCTTTATAAAGTTATGTTGAAAGAACCCAGACAAAAAGATTAACACTGTATGGCTCCAGTTATGTACAATTCTAGAAAATATAAACTAATATATCGAGATAGAAAGTAGATGCCTTGGGATGGGAAGAGAAGGGAGGAACAGGTGGATGATGGATTACAAAGAGCCTGAGCAAACTTTCAGGGCAACTGATATGTTCATTACCTTGATTGTTACGATGGTTTTAGAAGTGTATACATATATTGATACACACATCAATACTCACCAAATGGTATATCACATTAAGGATGTGCAAGTTTACTGTATATCAATTTTACTGTAATAATAAAGCTTTTAAAGGAAAGCGAGAGACTAGTCTTTCTGAACCACAGAGACTCAAAAATGTAGATGAGAGAGTGAACAACAAAGAATGGAGATAAGTAATTTCTGTGTCATGTGGTCAAGACGCTACATTTTTCTGAAACAGAATGAAAATAGGTAAAATAAAGTATCTTAATGTATATCATTCCAAGAGGGGAAAAGAAAGCCAAAAACTTGTCCTTTTATTTGTTACTCTGTTCTCTTACCACATTTATTTTATCAAGTATATATTTTATCTGAGTTATACACTAACAAAATTTGTCAAATCTTAGATTAAACTAAGATCCCACATGCCACAGAGCAACTAAGCCCGTGCACTTCAACTACTGAAGCCTGTGCACTCTAAAGCACGCTAGTCGCAACTAGAGAGCTCAAGAACCACAAGGAAAGATCCCGCATGATGCAACTAAGACCCAATGAAGCCAAATAAATAAGCGAGTTAAGATACTTGAAAAAAAGATAGCCTTGAATCACACTTCTCCTTTGCTAGGGAATCAAGCGAGAGAAAGTTTATTGTGATTTCTGCTAAAACAGAAATAGCAGAGCCAGAGAAACAAACACGGAAACCATAGGTTTTAAATCAACAAGGGAACTCGAGATTTTGCCTAGGTAATCATTAAAGGAAACAAGAAATTAGCATTATCAGTCTATCAGGAAGAGCTGGCTGGGCAGGACAGGACACACTAAGAAATAAAGGAACAGATTACACCCAAATAGGGGAACAACTGGAATAAATATTTTTCCAATTAATGGGGAAGGTTTCACTTGAAGATAAACCTTTTTATTAAAACTGTGAATGGGAGGAAGGAGCCAAGATGGCGGAGGAATAGGACGGGGAGACCACTTTCTCTCCTACAAATTCATCGAAAGAACATTTGAATGCTGAGCAAATTGCACAAAACAACTTCTGATCGCTAGCAGAGGACATCAGGCGCCCAGAAAAGCAGCCCATTGTCTTCGAAGGGAGGTAGGACAAAATATAAAAGATAAAAAGGGAGTCAAAAGAGCTACGGACGGAGACCCGTCCCGGGAAGGGAGTCTTACTAGAGGAAGTTTCCAATCACCAGGAAACCCTCGCACTGGCGGGACTGGGGGAAGTTTTCAGCAATCTAACTGGGAGGAAAAATTAAACAAGGCCCACAGATTACGTGCCTAAAAGCAACTCCCAGCAGAAAAGTACCCCAGACGCCCGTACCCGCCAGCAACAAGCGGGGGCGGGACGGAGAGGAGTGGGCGGCATTGCTTAGGGCCCGAACACACTGCCGGCGGTTCGCAAAACAAAGGGACTGAGAAAGTCCAGAGAAGAGCCGGCCCATCCCCGCTGGAGGTTGGAGGCAGGGGGTAGGGGAAAAGGGCAAACTCAGCCCCTGAGAAGCCACCCCCTCCCACACTGCAAACAGGCCCCCGGTTCCTATCTAAGACTTCCTGAGACCCGACTGGCGGCGCGCGCTGGGGCCGCCGAGGGAAAAAGCGCGCCGTACCCGGGGAGAGTGCGCCCAAGCCTCTGGCTGCCTGAACCGCTCAGGCCGGGGAAGGCACAAAACGCAGGCGCAACCGAATCTGCGTTTTTGTGGAGTACCCGAAAACTGGAACCGCACTCAACGCAGGGCCCGCTCCATATAGAGCAGCCGGGAGCCTGAGCAGTGTAGACGGCGAAAGCACTGACACCCGTGAGCGGGGCAAACCCAGTGTGGCCGGTGAGTGCTATCCACACAGAGCGGTATCTGTCTGCAGCGCCCCGCCCTCCCCGTAGCAGGACTGAACTGAACTAGAGAACCTAAATAAAACTGTGAATGGAATATAGAAACATCATGAACAATCCTTTTACTTTTCCCCTCAACTGGAGCCTCCTGATAGCCCCTCAGTATCAGTGAATAGACAAATATATGATATTCAAGGGATTCCACTGCAAATCCTGCACATACCGAAGTATGGGGGACATAGTTTTGAAGCATTTGAAAGGAACTTCTAAGTGGGGAGACACTAAATCAGGCAGAAGCAAAGGGACCTTACAGTTGGCAGAAATTATATGCTGAAGAGAGCAGGAAAAAACATCTACAACACTGGGCTGTGAGGTTTGGTTTTCAACACTAAGAAAACCTAAAATGAAACTTGAAAAGTGCACAAAAAAGAGAAAATCAGTACAATATTAATAAAATAATAATGTTCCCAAATTCTTTTACTTGGAATTTGTCAATGTGCACACTACTGAAAATAAGCATTCAATCTTGTTTTAACTTGAATTAGACCTTGGGGTAGTGTTTTTTCAAATATTTCTAGTCTAAAATTAATCTGTATTTTAGCAGGACATGCAAGCAATTATAGTCCTTATCCTTGGACAACTCACACTTCCAAGTACGTCTTCTCTCACTTTACCATGGTTCAGCATCTCTGCCCTTCTGGTGAACAAATTTAAAGTGAAACAGACAGTACAGGCATCTTTGTAGTACCCTCAAGTATCTGTATCAAGGAAACTAACTAGGAAAAAAGTGATCTGGTGGGCTGTGGACAGTGTTCACCTACTAGTGAGTCCTGGATTATCCAAAAAGGGAGGAAATAAACAAATAGACTCCAACAATGAACATAAAAACTGAGGCCTGGACTAGTCACCTGGAAGGAAGGCGGCCTGAGGAGAAGGTTGTGACACCACCAGGCAGCTCAAAGCATCACAGTATGTCATGACTCGACAGTTTCCTGTTTGAGACACTGTGAATGTCTTCTGGAAACGGTACTTCTGTTGAGTTTGGCTGGAGGGCAGGCCACTTAGGAAATGTGGTTGGGAACCCCCAGGCTGTTGTGAGATCTTATCCTGACCGATAAGTTTTTGCAAGTCCTAAAACATAAAAGATTTTGAAGATATAAAGCTATTTCATCTGGTATTACCCTCAAATACAATCCCTTGATCTAATACAAGGATATTTATCCTTTACATGAAAATGTTAACATGAATTCTAAAGAACTGCTGCAGTTTTCACAATATTTCAATAAGCAATTGAAATAGGGAGAGCACAGAATCATAAAGGGCTTAAAGTCTTAATGATTTAGAAAAGTCACTTTATTGGTAGATTCAAGGAAGTGAAATGACCTAAACAAGTTGTGAATTATCAGGTGGCTGTTCAATTTTTTTTTTTTTCTAATTCAGGATACAGTAGAATTCATCATAAAGCACATATATAAGTTCTAATAAATAATAAAGTTGATCATGTTTCCTTCCTGAAAAACTTGGTAAATCCTATTTGTATCTGAGTGAAACTAAATATTTAGATGCCTTCTTAATTCCTATTCCAACAGGACTTTGGGTTAGAAAAGGCAAACTTACCTGAACACGACTTTGAAGCCTGGAGCATTCATCAGTAAGGGCTTGAAGCTGTAGCCGACACTGTGCCGAGTCTAACTCGGCCTTCTTCCTTAGCTTCTGCTCCTTCTGTAAGGAACTAAGGGGGAAAAGCCAGCAACAGGTAGAGATTAGAAAGGCTACAAGACTTCTCATCAAGACGCACGGTGAATTTATGCTGTGATAGACACACTTTGACTATAAATATGTCATGATAGGGAATAAAATATAACAAGAGAAAAATCTCTCAAACTGAGAAACGTCACAGAATAGCAGACAGGGCTGAGCTCATCAGCCTACTGGAGTTGGTCTCACTGTTGAGGTAGGCAAGGACCAGGAATTTGGCTCTTACTAAGGAATGGGGACACAAAATGCAAAATGAGGGATTAGAGCCAAGCTCACTGCCTGAGTTAGAGCCAAATTAAAAAAGAGTAAAATGACCTGTTAAAAGACCAAGATCATCTACCAGATAAAAAGAAAATCAGCTATTAGATGTTAATGAGATATTAAAATAAAGAACACTATAAAAAGAGGTTGTTAAAAAAAGTATACACCAGGGAAATGCTAAAAAAAAAAAAAAAAAAAAGACTGATCACAATTAAAAAGGATGGATAACCATAAAGAGGAATAATGTACAATGAAAGGACACATTCATAGGTATGAAAATCATAAATTCACATTTCAAAATATGAAACGCAAATAGATATTTCCACTCCAATAAGATAGGAGAGAAAAAAGATGAACATTGGAAAGGAAGGGAAAAAGTGGCTCTTATTTATCTTCATAGAAAATTCAAGAGAATCCACAAGCTATTAAGAGTTTAGTAAGGTTACTAGAGTTAAGATCAAGAAAATTAGATCAACAGCATTCCCACAAACCAGACAGGTGATTTGTAAATGTAACAAAAAAAATTCTTTCAAAACAGCATTCTAACAGCAACCTAGGAATAAAGTTAAGGCCTTTAAGAAGCAAAATACAGTTATAAAAGGCACAAGGAAACACTGAATAAGTGAAAGGATATTATATGTTGATGGCTAGAAAGACTAAACTGAAGCACTAGAACTAACAGATCCTAGAACAAAAGAGTAGTCCATTTATAATATAGAAACTTAATTGAGAATAGAAGTAGCAATTGAAATTTATAGATAGGACATACTTCGCTAAAATTAAAAACTTTTTCAACAAAGGATACCATAAACAAGTCAAAGAGACAAGTCAAAAACTAGAAGATGGCATGTGCAATGTGCACAACCAACAAAGAGTTAGTGTAAGGAAAACAAAGAACTATAAATCAGTAAGAAACAAATAAATAATATATTTGACTCAATATAAATGAGTAAAATATTTGAACACAACTTACAGAAGAGTATGTTCAATCTCATAAGCGACTGAGGAAAAACCTCATAAGAAAAGCAAACTAAAGTAAATGCTATTCCACTCCATGAAACTGGCAAAATTAAGTCTGATAATATAAAGTAGATGAAGGGATGAAAAAAATGAGAAATCCCTTACATTACTGCTGCTGGTATAAACTGGAAAAGCCTCTAGGAAGAGCAATTTGACAATATCTAGTAAAGTTGAAATTACATGTACCCTATGATAAAGCAAATCCATTTCTAGACATAATGAAGCTCTCACCCATTTCTCTGCAGCATGGCCTATACTAATGAAAACTGGAAACTATCTGTCTACCAATACAAAATTACATATAGGAAAACTACAGAACTAGAACACTTTATAGAAATTAAAATGAATCAACGAGAGCTACATGTATCAACCAGGATATGTGCCTCAGAGTAATAAACAAAATCAAGCTACAGAAGAAAAACTATAATCCAATAACATTTGCATAAAATGTGAAAACTTTCTAAATCACACTGTATGTGCTTTATGGCCGTAGATCATCTGAGGAAAAAGATGGAATTAAGAAAAACTTGGTGCACAAGGAAGTCTCTTCGGTATTTATAAGGATATATTTCTTTTGTAAAAGACCCAAAACAAATACGGAAAATGTTAAGATTTGATAAAGTTGAGCCTGTGGGTATTCATCCTGTTAGTCTCAGTATGTATCACCATTTTGAAATTCTTCTCAAGAGGCTAAGGAGTACACCGATTGTAGTAATCAGCAAAGTTTTAAATACAGTTTTAAATACATGCATTACTAGCCACCCCTACTGGTTTCGCCTTTTCAAGAAAATTTCCCCCACCACATACCTGTCATTTTAACATACAACAAATAAATATTCGTTGGAGTGAAATTAATACATCTGTAATTCCACTTTACAGTGACTACTTACATGTTTTTTCCAGTTTGCAAAAATATAATCACACTAACAACATGCTTTCGCATGACAACATACTATATGTACTTTAACATCAGTTTTAATCAATGTATAGTGTTTCATCACATGGATATGCCAGAGTTTACCCAACCAATCAATCTTCTGGATTGGTTTGGATTATTAACTAAATGGAAAGCCTGATTAAACACATTTTTGTACATATCCTTAATCATTTTTTTAGAATGCCTAAAGCAGAATTACTTTTAGACTTCTGAATTATATTGCCAAGGGCCTCTCTAAATGTTAATATTTATGTACATTTTTACCAGTAATGCATGAGCGAACCCACATCCCCGTACTCTCAATGCAGGGGGGGTTTTTTTTGGCTGCTGCGGCATGGCATGTGGGATCTCAGTTCCCTGACCAGGGAACAAGCCTGCCTCCCCTGCATTGCAAGGCTGATTCTGAACCACTGGACCACCCGGGAATTCCCTATCTTTACTGTTCTTAAAGCATATTTTATAAGTAGTGTTTTTAGCAATTGTCCATGGGCTTCCCAAATCCCAATAATTTCTTGCATTGTATTGCTTCAGTTATGAGACTTCTTTGTAGAATACTGTGGCAGGAGGTCTTAGGGATACAAGAAGCAAAAATTCTGTTTTTAACAAAGTATTTTTAAGCCTAAGCCTATTCTAACGACAAGGAGGTTGAGACCTGGAGTGTGTTCTAGATGGCCGTGAATTGGCTACAATGAGTAACACAGGGGATTCCCTGATTCAGTGTTCAGGGAATTTAGTGGCAGAGGCAGGCAGTAAAGGTAATCCTTTAGGGAAGAAGCTGGGCAGGCTACCAAAAACTCCAGGCTGTCTTTATGTGTGGGTCTGCTGCCCAGCTTAGGTGTGAGGTATTACTGTATGGCTAAAGGTTTCTCTATGACTTGATTTTACCAGACCACGTCTTGGCCTCCCCAAGTCACATTACCAAAGACTTAAGTCTTAGGGCTGACTCCAAGGTCACAGGAATGCCAAAGTGCTCCTGCAGAGCCACCTGCTCCGATCAGCACACAACCCTCAGGCCCTGAAAATGGAGGCTACGAGGTGCTGAGCACACAGATGAGCGCAGCAGTCCACCACCTGCTGCTCTGCTTTTAGCCCCTGTCTTTCAAGAAAGGAGATTTTCATCCTCTACTTCTCAGCTCTGTTTTCTTATGCATTGACTTAACTTTCTGATAGTCTACACTAGCTTTTTTCCCTGAAGAGTTCAAGCAAAAGTCCTGGGGCTTACATTCATTGAGCTAGGTGAAGCCACAGTAATTTATTACTCCAGATCATCACTTTTAATCCTGTATGGAGAGTAAACCGTGCATCACGTGATCAGACATGTATCGTAAGTCACAATGTTAGATCGCCAACAATCCCCAGATTCCTAGTCACAGTTCACGGAAAGCCTCAGAATCACACTAAGAGTGACTCATACCCCCTTTTTCAGATGAGCCTACAAAGAACCAAAAGGGAATATTCCAGCTAGACAGACTCTTTCCACCTACCTCTTCATGAGCTCCTGCTCACTAGTGTCCAAAGCTCTCAAGGTCCGGGCATAAAGGACAACGATATCACTTTGCTTGGCTTTCTTGTTGCACTAAGGAGCCCAACAGGACATAATTAGTGTGGTTCTAGGAATCCTCCTGGCTTAACATGTTGACTGTGCACATACACAGTTCTTAACTACAGTCTATACCTGGGGACATTTTCGGGTCTGTCCTCTGAGCCACTTCAAAATGCATTTGTACCCAAAGAGGTGACCACAGCGCAATGCAGAGAGCCGGTGATCCCCAGCATTGGTCCACTGTTCCAAACATATTGTGCAAGTGTCCCCTTCTTCCTCATCCACAGACGCAGAAGTTAGAGAAGGGTTAGACTTCTGGGGAGACTGCAGGATGGAAACCAGAATACATTCAAATAGAGAAAATGCAAAATCTGTCTTGAATATATGAAACTAACAAATTAACAAAAATCACACAAAAATGAACAAGCCCAGTTGAAAAATGCCAAAGGAAAACCCAACACCCATGAATCACTTCCCATTCTTTCCAGATTGCAATCTTGTCAAAGATAATATAAACCGTGAAAATATCATCATCCTTTGAACTCACGAAATTCTTGATTTTTTTCATTCAAATGACAAAAAGGAGCTATATTTACGAAGATATTAAAACCAAACAAACCCAGAAGTGACCCAGTTAAAAAACAACAGAGAATATTAAGTCTTTTATACATTCGAAATTAGGTTCATAATTCAAATAGCTATAAAATATCTGGTTCATGTGAATAAAGAAAAAAATACAAGGGAAAAGAGAAAGGAATATAAACAGCTCACACAAAAATACAAACGGTTAGTAAGTGTTCGGCTATAATTAAAGAAACAAAAATTAAACTGTTTTTACTTCTTTTCATCTATTAGATAATGTCTGGTGACACGAAGCACTGCAGGTGAGGGAGAGATGGGCATGCTTACATACCGCTATTGCAAGTAGAAACTGGCACAAATTTTCCAGAGGGCAACTTGGCATTATCTATTAAAACTAAAAATACAAACATCCTTCCTTTGATAAAGCAACCTCTCTGGAAGAAATATATCCCATGAATATAACCACAAATATTTGCCAAGACAATAATGCAAAGATGATCAGTGCAGCATGATCTTAGTAGGAAGCAACAATAGTGCACACAGCAAGGGAAGAAGTAACTAAAAATTTATTCCCATGTAAAAACACTATGCAGCTATTACTACCAGTAAGAATGAGATTCACTTTTATGTTGGATAGTCACTAAGTCCCTCTTTGTGACCCCATGGACTGTAGCCCACCAGGCTCGTCTGTGCATCGAACTTCCCAGGCAGGAATACTGGAGTGGGTAGCCATTTCCTTAAATTTTATGTACTGACAATAAAAAGCTCTCCAAGAGAAACTTCCCTGGTGGTCTAGTGACTGGGAATCTGCGTTCCAATGCAGGGGACATGGCTTTGATCCCTGGTGAAGAACTAGGACTCCACATGCCACAGAGCAACTAAGCCTAGGCCCTATGACGACTGAGCCTGTGCACTGCAGGGCACAGAGGAGAAGAGAAGCGTGCGCTGCAACTAAAGAAGCCCCTGCGCGCTGCAACGAAAACCCAGCACAGCCAGAGTCAATTAAAAAAAAATAAAAAGACATGGCAAGGATCAAGATTAGTTGAGCAATTAATCACACATTTAATCACCTAGTCCTACAATTAAAAAAAAAGCTCTCCAAGATACAAGTCAGAGGGAAAAGAAACAAGTCCTGGAACAGGACAGTATGTAATCTCTCTTGTGTAAATTTTAAAATAGAGCATTTAAATGAATTCAGTAAAGTTGAAGGATACAAAATTCATCTACAGAAATCTGTTGCATTTCTACACACTAACAATGATCAGAGAATTAAGAAAATAATAACCCCATTTAAGAACCGTATTAAAAAGAATACAATAAACTAGAATTTAATCTAACCAAAGAGGTAAAACACCTGTACTCTGAAAACTATGACATTGATGAAAGAAACTGAATATGATACAAACAATTGGAAAAACACATTATGCACATTGGAAGAATTAACACTGTTAAAATAATCACATTCCCATCAAGGCAATTTACAGATGCAATGCAATCCCTGCCAAAATATGAACAGCATTTTTCATAGAACTAGACTAAATGATTTTAATTTATATGAAAACATCTTTAGCATTAGTCCTTCCAATGAATATTCAGGACTGATCTCCTTTAGGATGGACTGGTTGGATCTCCTTGCAGTCCAAGGGACTCTCAAGAGTCTTCTCCAACACCACAGTTCAAAAGCAGCAATTCTTCAGCGCTCAGCTTTCTTCACAGTCCAACTCTCTTATCCATACATGACCACTGCAAAAACCATAGCCTTGACTAGACGGATCTTTGTTGACAAAGTAATGTCTCTGCTTTTCAATATGCTATCTAGGTTGGTCATAACTTTCCTTCCAAGGAGAAAGCATCTCTTAATTTCATGGCTGCAATCACCATCTGCAGATATTTTGGAGCCCAGAAAAAAAAAGTCAGCCACTGTTTCCCCATCTATTTCCCATGAAGTGATGGAACCAGATCTTAGTTTTCTAAATGTTGAGCTTTAAGCCAACTTTTTCACTCTGCTCTTTCACTTCCATCAAGAGGCTCTTTAGTTCTTCTTCACTTTCTGCCCTAAGAGTGGTGCAATCTGTGTATCTGAGGTTATTGATATTTCTCCCGGCAATCTTGATTCCAGCTTGTGCTTCCTCCAGCCCAGCGTTTCTCATGATGTACTCTGCATATAAGTTAAATAAGCAGGGTGACAATATACAGCCTTGACATACTCCTTTGCCTATTTGGAACCACTGTTGTTCCATGTCCAGTTCTAACTGTTGCTTCCTGACCTGCATACAGAGTTCTCAAGAGGCAGGTCAGGTGATCTGGTACTCCCATCTCTTACAGAATTTTCCACAGTTTATTGTGATCCACACAGTCAAAGGCTTTGGCATAGTCAATAAAGCAGAAGTAGATGTTTTTCTGGAACTCTCTTGCTTTTTCGATGATCCAGTGAATATTGGCAATTTGATCTCTGGTTCCTCTGCCTTTTCTAAAACCAGCTTGAACATCTGGAAGTTCACGGTTCACATACTGTTGAAGCCTGGCTTGGAGAATTTTGAGCATTACTTTACTAGCGTGTGGGATGAGTGCAATTGTGTGGTAGTTTGAGCATTCTTTGGCATTTCCTTTCTTTGGGCTTGGAATGAAAACTGACCTTTTCCAGTCCTGTGGCCACTGCTGAGTCTTCCAAATTTGCTGGCATATTGAGTGCAGCATTTTCACAGCATCATCTTTCAGGATTTGAAATAGCTCAACGGGAAATCTATCACCTCCACTAGCTTTGTTCGTAGTGATGCTTTCTAAGGCCCACTTGACTTCACATTCCAGGATGTCTAGCTCTAGGTGAGTGATCACACCATAGTGATTATCTGGGTCGTGAAGATCTTTTTCGTTCAGTTCTTCTGTGTATTCTTGCCACCTCTTCTTAATATCTTCTGCTTCTGTTAGGTCCCTACCATTTCTGTCCTTTATTGAGCCCACCTTTGCATGAAATGTTCCCATGGTATCTCTAATTTTCTTGAAGAGATCTCTAGTCTTTCCCATTCTGTTGTTTTCCTCTATTTCTTTGCATTGATTGCTGAGGAAGGCTTTGTTATCTCCCCTTGCTATTCTTTGGAACTCTGCATTCAAATGGGAATATCTTTCCTTTTCGCTTCCCTCCTTTTCACAGCTATTTGTAAGGCCTCCTCAGACAGCCATTTTGCTTTTTTGCATTTCTTTTTCTTGGGGATGGTCTTGATTCCTGTTTCCTGTACAATGTCACGAACCTCCGACCATAGTTCATCAGGCACTCTGTCTATCAGATCTAGTCCCTTAAATCTATTTCTCACCTCCACTGTATAGTCATAAGGGATTTGATTTAGGTCATACCTGAATGTAATTATCAGGGACATGCAAATTAAAACCACAAAGAGATACCACCTTACACCTGTCAGAATGGCTATCACCAAAACAACAACACACAGTAAGCACTGGCAAGGATCCAGAGAAAAGGAAACACTTGTGAACTGTTGATAGGAACATAAGTTGGTGCAGCCACTAAGGAAACAGTATGGATTATGGACAAATACCATATGATCTCACTTACATGGAATCTGAAAAATAAAACAAGAAAAAACCCGCAGACTAAGAGACACAGAGAACAAATGGGTGAGTGCCAAAGGGAAGGGAGTGGGGGTGTATGACAAAACAGGTTGAAGGGGATTAAGAGGTACTAACTTGCACTCATCCCACACGCTAGCAAAGTAATGCTCAAAATTCTCCAAGCCAGGCTTCAACAGTACGTGAACTGAGAACTTTCAGATGTTCAAGCTGGTTTTAGAAAAGGCAGAGGAACCAGAGATCAAATTGTCAACATCCGTTGGATCATCGAAAAAGCAAGAGAATTCCAGAAAAACATCTATTTCTGCTTTATTGACTATGCCAAAGCCTTTGACTGTGTGGATCACAAGAAACTGTGGAAAATTCTGAAAGAGATGGGAATACCAGACCACCTGACCTACCTCCTGAGAAACCTGTATGCAGGTCAAGAAGCAACAGTTAGAACTGGACATGGAACAACAGACTGGTTCCAAATAGGCAAAGGAGTATGTCAAGGCTGTATATTGTCACCCTGCTTATTTAACTTATATGCAGAGTACATCATGTAAAATGCCGGGCTAGATGAATCACAAGCTGGAATCCAGATTGCAGGGAGAATTATCAATAACCTCAGATACACAGATTGCACCACCCTTATGGCAGAAAGTGAAGAACTAAGGAGGCTCTTGATCAAAGTGAAAGAGGAGAGTGGAAAAGCAGGCTTAAAGCTCAACATTCAGAAAACTAAGATCATAGCATCTGGTCCCATCACTTCATGGCAAACAGATGGGGAAACAATGGAAACTGACAGACTTTATTATCTTGGGCTCCAAAATCACTGGAGATAGTGACAGCAGCCATGAAATTAAAAGATGTCTGCTCCATGGAAGAAAAGCTGTGACCAACTTAGAGAGCATATTTAAAAGTAGAGACATTATTTTCCTGACAAAGATCCATCTAGTCAAAGCTGTAGTTTTTCCAGTAGTCAAGGATGGATGTGACAGTTGGATCATAAAGCTGAGCGCTGAAGAATTGATGCTTCTGAACTGTGGTGTTGGAGAAGACTCCTGAGAGTCCCTTGGACTGCAAGGAGATCCAACCAGTCCATCCTAAAGGAAATCAGTCCTGAATATTCATTGGAAGGACTGATGCTAAAGCTGAAACTCCAATACTTTGGTCACCTGATGCGAAGAACTGATCATTGGAAAAGCCTGTGATGCTGGGAAAGATTGAAGGCAGGAGGAGAAGGGCATGACAGAGGATGAGATGGTTGGATGGCATCACCAACTTGATGGACATATGTCTGAGCAAGCCCTAAGGAGTTGGTGATGGACAGGGAAGCCTGGCGCATTGCAGTCCATGGGGTCTCAAAGAGTTGGACACAACTGAGTGATTGAACTGAACTTCCAGTTATAAAATAATAAACTATGTGGATGTAATATATAGCATGAGGAACGTGGTCAATAATACTCTAATAGTTTTGTATGGGTACAAATGGTTACTAAATTTATTGTGGTGATCACTTTATAATGTATGCAAATGTCAAGTCACTTTGCAGTACACCTGAAACTAACATATGTAAACTATATTTAAATAAAGTAAAAAATTATACATGTAAGTAAATTTACATGAGCTAACTTTTCTAAAGAGAATAAATAAAAACAGAAACATGCAAAAAGTGAATCAATGATGTTTCCAAACTGGCAGGGTCCACAGTTTATATAAATACATCTCATATTAAGGACAGTGATGTTATTTTTAAAAATAAAAACAGATTATCTCATAGCAAGCATTCTGCCAGACAGTTCATAAACTGCATTCATATTGGCTGTTTTAATTGATACATAACCTTGTTAGGTGGGACGGACAAATATTCAAACCTTCCCCTACCCTCTGTTTTTAAACCTAAGGGTAGCACTCACACAAATAATGAGTAACATCCGGGCCCCCTGCCTACAAAGGCTGTGAGTTTTCCATTTTAGCCTGCCAGTCTCCTTTTTAAATGTAAATACAGATCTAAAAGGATGTTCATATTACCTGTTTGCGGAGAGTGTCTTCTCCCCCAACACATGCAACTTCTTGGCCTGCTGAGATGTCTTCTAGTCGCTCTGCCAAGTTGTTCCCAGAAGCGACGGGACAGGCAACATACAAAGGAAGATATGAGTCAGGTATGAGGCTAGCAGGAGAGCCTGACTCACCGCAGCTCTCCCTTGTGCAGCGGCACTGGGAATGGCAGGGAGAGCAGACTCAGTCTCTGGATGGGGACTAAGATCCTGCATGTCAAGGAGCCAAAAAACCCCGAAAAGAATTCACTGATGCTATTTCAATCTAAGACCCTATAATACATTCATTATTTTTGTTTAATGCTCAAATTGCCCCAAAATGCTCAAAGTGCCCTAGGCCACTAGGTTCTCTTTCAAGGTTGCACCTATGCCTACTGACATAACTGTAAGACAGAAGGCTTTGCTTTCTACCACAATAAAATGCCCTAGGCTCATCTTGTATATCTCCCATCACAGACTTGGAAAAAAGTGACCAACTCAGTGGGTCACAAATCACATAGAACTGCAAGCCAGATAAAATCCTTTCTGTATAGTTATGGCCCGTGTAAGCTCATGGCATCACTAACTCAACGGCCACGAGTCTGAGTAAACTCTGGGAGCTGGTGACGGACAGGGAGGCCTGGAGTGCTGCAGTCCATGGGGTCGCAAGGAGTCGGATATGACTGAGCGACTGAAGTGTCTGACTGACTGAGTGTAAGCTCTGCACTATAAAGCAGTAATCTATGACATCCGGCGTGAAAAGTAAAAGTATCAAAACACAAGTCTAGAGCTTCTAGCCTTCTGGAGCCTAAGCTTGTCGGCTGCTGACCTTGTGAATGAAGTCTGGAGAAAGAGTACTCACCTTCTAAAACAACAGCTTCAGGCTCCTCTGCCGGAGCACCTCCCTCCTCAAACTCTGTGGAGCTGTCACTGTCGGAGGCAGAACTGCCTGATACCTGCAAGTCATCAGAGACAGGATTCCTGGTCTCTGAATCATGAGAGGTGGCTGACGAATGAGGCTGGGTCCTGCTCGCTTGAAAGAAAGCTTCCAACGGTGCTCTCAACCTATGCACGGAGAAAGACAACAGAATTCTAGTACAACATACTAACATCACAAGAATAATCCACAGTAATCTGGAGGTAAATCCTAGTCATTTTAATGCATCACCGGGCCATTAAATGTTGAAGTAGGAACAGAGATTCAGGCAGATGCTGACTGGACTACATATGCTCTTTCTATTCAATTATTCCATCAGCTCACACTGAAGCTTGACCCTTCTGCTAAAAGCTAATCTTACTTTACTGGTACTTCTTTTGTCAATATCTTTTAAAGACATGACTCATTAATACATTAAAAGAAAGAGAGAGAAAACTAACTTAGCAATTTGTCTGCTGATACTAGGGGGCTGAAAAGAGTGGGCAAGACAAAAAAACGGCCCTATTGGGGACAGCCTAGCTCCAAGCCTGAGTTGCTGGAGCAGGCTCCGGGCTGCCGCGCGGCCGAGTGTGCTTTATGGACCATGTGCTGCTATGTATGCCTGAAGTACTTGAAATGCAAATTTGGAGAGACTTTGCCATCTAAATGCTTGGCTGGATTAAACGCCTAATTAGGATGATTTTTCAACAGGTTGGAAGCATGCAATCGGTTATTGCAAGATGTTGAATATAGTTCCCTGTGCTGCACACAGGGTCCTTGTTTTTCTGAAACTTTGAACGTATTGATGATGACAATTACATGAGCTGGGGCAGATGCCAGAGGTTCTTTGGTCTGGGAAGCCATATGGGTCATCTCGGAGTATTGTAAGGAAAATTGGTACCAATTTATCTCTGATCCAGTGTCCAAGAGTTCAGTTTCAGCTGACCAGCCCAACGACAGAATGGAGCTCCAGCCCCCCGGGAGAGGATGCAGTGGTGTTTTTTGCTGATGTGGGATGGGTAGCTGAAGAAGAAGGAGAGTGTTCAACAAGACAAAGGATAGAGGTCCCTCGGTCAAGGCCAACCCTTCAGGATGATCTTCCTTTCCTTGAGAAGCCCCACAGCAGGCAGCCGTCCTTACCCACCCTGTCTCCAGAAGAGCCTCCGGTGCAGACCTCGACACTGGCCAGTGAGGAAGCACTGCAGAAGATCTGTGCCCTTGAAAGTGAGCTTGCTGCCCTCAGAGCTCAGATTGCCAAGATCGTGACCCTCCAGGAACAGCAGAACCTCAGTGCAGGTGACTTGGAATCCACCAGGCCTGCCGCCACAGCACCACTCTCAGTCCCGCCGCCGCCCCCGCCGCCTCCCCTCCCACCCCCAGGGCTCCTGCAGAGCACTTCTGCTATTGATCTGATAAAAGAGCGGAGAGAGAAAAACGCCTCTGCTGGGAGGACCCCAGTCAAGAGCAGTCCAAAGAAAACCGACCTGCCCAACATGCTGGAGATCCTGAAAGACATGAACAGCGTGAAACTGCGCTCAGTAAAAAGGTCAGAACAAGACACGAAGCCCAAGCCGGCAGATGCTGCTGACCCCGCTGCCCTCATAGCAGAGGCGCTGAAAAGGAAGTTTGCTTATCGGTATGGAAGCGATAGTCAAGGTGAAGCTGAAAAAGGAATCCCAAAGTCTGAATCAGAGGCCACCTCTGAGAGAGTGTTGTTTGGTCCACACATGTTGAAGTCTACTGGAAAAATGAAGGCTTTAATTGAAAATGCTTCAACTTCCTAATAGACAAAGAGCTGAGAAAGACTATCTGAAGTTCAGCTGTTGGTTTATTAGGGCTGTTCGGCTAGTAGATATCAACACTGTTTGTTTGGTAAATACCTGAATTTAGTACTTATTAGTGGTCTCCTTTTAGGTCTGACTAGAGGATAATGCTATAACAAAAGCACTCTTAAGTCTGTTTGCTTTTAAGAGAAGATCAGTTCTGAAGTTTTCCATCGCATATGTACATTCCAGCATGTTTTTAATGTGTAGCCAAGATGTTTAGGCTTCCAGTCTGGAGAACAGTTACGTAGATTTCAGAACAAAGGAAGGACACTTGGTAGATGTGGTTTAATTAACACTAATTTATCTGTACACATATTTTATGTGCATGTATTTGGATAAACAACAGGACATAAGATTTAGCAATGGCAGGGACAAGGCTGCTGGTAATCATTCCTACCCAGTGACGGAGCAGCTGGTATATCCAAATTGTTGAAGTGAAGTGTTCGAGTTTGGAATTTCTTCTTGCCTTGAACAGAACTTTTAGATGGTCTCTCACATTTTCTTGGAGATGGGGTTTGATTAGGAACCAGATAATGTTCGCTGCTGAAATTCCGTAATACTTTCTTTTAAAGGGAAGTCAAGGATTATGAAAACTGTTTTCCACCTCAGTGCCATCCAGTTCTGAGGAAGAAATGTAGTTTTCAATAGTGAGCAATCAAACTATTGAATTAAATCTGTTTTAAAGTAAAAACTAGAATGTACCATCTTTTTCTTTCAGTTTAATAAAATGGCATATCATAAAGATGAAAAAAAAAAAAAAACGGCCCTATTGATCAAATACAGCCTCATAAATTCTGTTGCTGCAGCTACTCAGACCAAGGTCTTTGGGGGTATTAAGTCTGGCTACAGTCATTATTGTTTCAACTCTCACTTTAAGCCGTTTTTCTTTTCAAATTAAAAATGCTTAAAAAAAAAATAAGTTAAAAGTTCTCTTTTGCCCACTCAAACTTTCTGTTGAAAGTTTGTGTCAACTCCAGTATTTCTACTTTGTACATTTTTATAACTTCAGTCTCTTTATTAAAATTATCTATCTGGTGACACAGTGTTTTATCCTTTGCTTTAGTTTTTTTAATATATTTAAATAATCTAGTAAGTTCAACATTTTGGTTTCTTCATAAAGTTTTTTTTTCCTGTGTAATGACTATACTTTCTTTACACATCTTATATTTTCTTGAAAATTGGACATCTCATAAAACATAATGTGATAACTCTGGAAATGAGAATTCACTGTTCCCAGGGTTTGTTGCTGTTATTTCTTATAGTTGCTACTGTTTGTTTAGTGACTTTCTGAAGTAATTCTATAAAGTTTGCACTCTTTGCTATGCGTGCTGTTTGGTTAGCTTTGTGCTCAGTTCATGACTAGACAGAGATTTTCTTAAACACCTGGAATCAGTAAGCCTCCCAGTCTTTGCTGAGGTATCTGACGTGTGTTGGGGCACATCAATAATCAGCCAGGCAGGTGACAACTCTACGTTAGACTTCATTTCTTGCTTATGCAGAGCCTCAAGGTCAGCCAGAGATGAGAGCTAACTGCTTTAGTGCCTTCTGAGGCCTTCCCTGAGCATGGGTACAGCTGCACACAGCCCTCGACATGTATGTGGCCTTTTAGATTCCCAGGAATATGTCAGAACTTTTTAAAACCCCATATGAAGATCACATTCCCCAGCTTTTCCTTTTAGGCTTTCTGGTTAGTCTAATGTTTGCCCCAGTGACCATCCACTGCCTCAGACAGATCCTGGGGAATAGGCTTTAAGCTTTTAAGACTAAGACAAGCCAGGAATAACCTTTCAAGTGTCATCTTCCAGGAAACCACTAAACAGGTGAAAAAAGAATTCTTTGGTATTGAGGTTTCAAAGTACCTCCAATTCCATTCTACTCTCTCTAGTTGCTTCTAGGCTACTGGCCTTTCACTGTGATTACAGGCAGTTTTCAAGACTACTATGGAGCTGAAGAGGAGAATGGGAATAGGGAATGCCACAAAGCTCACAGTTCTTACTGAGACTCAGCTGGCTTTCTTTGAGACTCACTCACTGAACTGTTACAAGCACTGGATAATTTCCAGAATACTGAAAAAGTTGATTTTGATAAATGTTGCCAGTTGTTTCACTGATTCGATACAGAGGATTTTTCTGAGGTCCTTATTCTGCCATTTGCACTGATGTCACTCAGGTTTGCTTTTTTAAGAAAATGCTAAGCAAGTTTTAAAATTTATTTTTAAGAACTGTGCATAAACAGCAGCTATAGCTACTCATGAAAATAAGCACATAAGAGCAGCACTGCCTAAGAACATCTGAACTAAATGAAACATATAATAAAGTTAATCTATTACACGCATAGGGCTTCCCTTATAGCTCAGTCAATAAAGAATCTGCCTGCTGCAATGCAGGAGACCCAGGTTCAATTCCTGGGTCGGGAAGATCCCCTGGAGAAGGAAATGGCAACCCACTCCAGTATTCTTGCTTGGAGAATCCCATGGGGTCATAAGAGATGGGCATGACTTAGCAACTAAACCACCACCATTACATGCATATCAATAGCATTCTGCATAGAAACGAGTAAAAATTAAATGATTAACTTTCTTTAAAAAATCACTCATTAATATTGCTTTTATTAGCAAATAGGCATTTCCAAGGTCAGGAGGGGACTATGAAAAGCAACTGGGAAACAGTGCTTAGGAGTATAGTCTTGTAATTCTCCTCTTGTCCTGCACTCATCATCTCTGGATTAAATAACAGTAGAATAAATTCTTGCCCCTTGCTTACCCTCTGTAGTCCTAGATTCCATAAGCTCCATGAAAACTGGTACCCTGATCTGTCCTGTTCAGATGTATATATCTCCAAGGCAAAAGTTCAGTCTTTCACATAGTGGAGTGTTACAAATATCTGATGAATGAATGATGACGCTGACAGTCAGAATCAAGCAGCCTCAAACAAAGAAATAGGAAAGGAGTTTGTGACCTTGATTGAGAAGTAGTTGGGAAAAATATCCCATTAGGTAGGTTTCCCCAATGTGGTGGAGCCTGAGGCAAAAGCGTCTCACCTTGGCCCAGGCTCTCAACACCTGGCGCAGGGGTAGTGTCAGGTGAGTAAATGCCACCAAACACCATAATGAGAAATTCACTTCAAGATATTCAGAAGGTATAAGCAAATCAGTCCTGGGAAAGCTCAGACTTCTGTGTGAATTTACTGTGGAATTAATTTACAGCACAATATTTAACGGCAAGAAATTTTAATGTCTCATTTATCAGGCTCCAGAATCCATGTTCTCTGCACAGTGCTTTGCCTTGAAGGTTTACTCTCTTTGTGGAGACAAACTGACATCATTTAACATCTAAATTCTGTAGCTCAATCCCTGAGCACAGATTCTACATACATCAAGAAATTTTCTGATTATAGAGTCTGGCTTCTGTGTGTCAGTACCCTCTAGGAGAACCATGCTGACAATGCCAGAGAATCTGGTCTCTGTGCTGTTTCCAATTTTCTCTGTAAATTGGCATCTGGTTTATGAGTGTCACTCTCCTGTGAACTCATTTCACTAATGTCCCCAACCAAGTGCAATCCCCTCACCCATTCACCCAATGTATGAACAACCAAGCCTGAGGACAATTTAAGAGTCCACTTCACAGTTCCGGAGGACACCACTCTCAACTCAGCCCCCTTATTATTTCAACAGGGTCCCCAAAGTGCACTACAAGGTACCTTCGTCTATGACACAAATATATGAAATCCTACTTTGCTTTGAAAATCAGCATAAATGGCACCTTAAAATAACAGAGTAGCATGGACTTGCAATTCCTGTCAACACAGAACGAGGCTCTTCTCATCCAGCACTGACCAGGCATTAGAGACTAAAGCCACAGTGACAGCAGCCCTGATACACTAACAGCAGGATCCACTGAAAAGGATGCTGAAATCCAGAATCAGAAGGCACAACTCCAACTCCAGAGTCATCTCAGTCAAACCATAAATCACCCCATCATCTTCCTCATTTGCAAAACACAGGCAACAGATGGCCCAGCTACCACTTTTTAGTGCCATCTCATTCTTTTTGATATTTATTTTGTATTATTTACTTGTTTGGCTGTGCTGGGTCTTAGTTGTGGCAGGCAAACTATCACGTGCCACACGTGGGATTAAGTTCTCTAACCAGGGATTGATCCCAGGCCCCCTGCATTGGGAGTGCAGTCTTAGGCACGGGACCACCATGGAAGTCCCTCATTATTTTCATAGTGTTAGAAAAATGGATCTGATTGAAGCTTCCTTTATTTGCTTTTGTAGACAACAGTCAGATCCAGGTTCCAACATCAGCTCTAACCTCCTCTGTACTGTCACTCTGAGACCCTGAATAAATCAATCTCTCAGGGTCCAAGTTTCTTTCACATTTAAAATGAAAAGGTTGAATTCAATCTCTTTCAACATTATGAAGACATTTAGAAAGCCAACTATGGAACTAAGTATTTCAAACAAAGCAGGAGAAGTTAAAAAACAGATTAAAATATAGGCAACTGTTATTCTTCAAAATAACTGTCAAGACTTGACAGCTAACCCCTTCAAGAGGCAAGTTCAAACCAAAACCTATGGAAGAAAATTATTTTTAACTCTGCAACACAGTATCAGGTGAGGAGAGCTAGAATGTTTCCTACTAAGTCAGATAAGTTCTATATTAATTCACACTGTACTTTTCACAAGGGTTCTCTAAATCCAGCCTGCCCATCTTACAAAATCTACTGTACCACTAAGTGGAGTGCCAATGAACAATGAATCTCAGGCAAGTGGAGTGGACTTGCAAGTTAAATATATATGTATATATATTTGATGTACAAGAGACAAATGAGCAAAAGAAAAGCCAGCCTCTACAGACACCATTGCCAACAAACTACCAACAAGTTTCAAAACATATCTGTGTACCCTATCCTCTCCACTACTTTGTGAAGTAAATAAACCAAGTAATTTTATTTTCATCTGATTTATGAGGTACTGGGGGTTCAGAAAGGTTACTCGACTTGCCAAGTCACAACGCCAATTCCTGGCAGCACTGGGGCTATCATCAGGGCCTAAGGTTCATAATTCCCAATCAGGTACCAATCCCACTATTTACGCATCTATTTACCTGGCACTGTTTGTCCTCTGGGACCCTCCTGTTCTTGTCCTCCGTGAAGCAGAACTCCTCCTACTCCTCCTCACTCTCATGGGCCCCACACTGCGGCCTGAAGTCGGTCGCAGGAACTCCAGCATGCCATGAAGTCTCTGCAGCCCACTGATGAAGCTGTTCACTGAATCCAATGAAGGCACCTGGGGAGCGTGGTTAGCACCAGATCTCGGCCTAAACTCCTCTGAAACTCCTGGATTGAGGTTCCCCACAGTCTCTGTTCCTGAGAGCTCCACTTCCTCTGTCAGATCAACAGATATCTGTGGAACAGGCGGGAGCAGCGGCACTCTCTCTGGGCTGTTGAAGACCTCCTCAGGAATGGGTTGGAGCAGGGGCGGTCCTCCTTGGATGCTGACCACCTCAGCAAGTACAGGACGCAACACGGGTGGTCCCTCCTGGCTGCTGACCTCCTCAGTGTGAGGAGGCTGGAGCAGGGGTGGGGCCCCTTGGCTGCTCACCACCTCGGCAGGAGCAGGCTGTTCTGCAGCACCATGATCTAATTGCACCTGAAGATCATATTCCACTGCTTCACGAGCCATCACTGAGGAAGTAATATTTGCAAAAAGTATTAGCAAAATGTATCAGCTATGTGGCATGTTTTATCTAATTATGTCTATCATTTAATGTTTCTGTTTAAGATCATTCTTGACAAAACTGAGAAACTTAAAAGATGATTTTAGCTCTTTTCCTATAATGACTTTTAACCAGTTATCCTGTTTACCCTTCGAAAACATAAAGTCATGTGATCATAGCACTGGTCTTTAAAAGAATCTATAAAATAAGAGAATTGAACTATTGAAAATAATCCCTCAGACCTCTTGCAGTTCTGTCATGACCTGTATATGGACATTTACTACAACAAATGCATACAATGCTATATTTAATTTTAGTAGGCAATATTCACCTTTCATGGCACTAAAGTGCAAAGACTAAACACAGAAAGAACACTTCCACAAAATAACTCAAATAATAACTCAAAATAGAAATTTACCTATTTCCCCCAAAATGCTGAGCAACCTTTATTTACTTCAACTTTTTCATTACTTTTGTTTTCTGTCTCTAAGTCCATTTGTTAGTCCGTTCAACAAATATTTATTAAGCGCTAGTTATGTTCCTTTCATTATTTGTTTCCTATCTCTACTCCAGTACATTAGTCTATTTTTCAAGAAATATTTAAGCATCTGTCATATAGTCAAGACACTTCACAGAGGCAAACAGATAAGTAGATAAGACCCAGCGTAATACAAGTTACATTCTAACAAATGAGAGAATAAACAAATCAATGTGAAAATTATATATTGTGCCATTTGGTTTTAGGAGTGGGGGGCAAGACACAACAGTGAGAGGCCGCCTCTTATAAGACAAAAAGGATTAAAAGAAGTTGGCCACATGAAGAGCCAAGAAAGAGTTTCAGAAGAAAATCAATACAAGGTGTCTGCTAAGTATGGGTTTAGTGCATCAGAGAAACTAAGAAGCCCAGCATAACGAGCACAATAAGAAAGAGCAGACAGTATGAGGCTTAGTATGAGGAGTGAAGTTGAAGATACACGACACTTTCACTAAAAGGGCTTGGTAAGGAGTTTCTTCTGTGTTAGGAATGGACTGTAGGGGAGGAAAAGTGCAGGCAAAGTGACCACTTTATAGGCTATTATGGGAGTGTAAACTAGTGGTCACAGAGGCAAGAATAGTAGCAGTAGAGATGGAAGAGTAGACAGCTTTAAGAATCCTCAGTATAGTCATGCCACTTAAAATCTTGGGATAGATAAACTACCTAAGAAGGAACTGAGATAGAAAAAAAGCAGGCCAAGGACTAATACCAGAGACATTAACATTAAAAGGATAACAGCTTTAGGAAGAGAACCCAGAAACCAAGACCATGAGGTAGGAGAAAACCTGGGAGAGTGTGGTGTCTTAGAAGAATGATGCAAGGAGGGGACAGTCAGGTGTGTCCAGTGCCACTGAGGGGAAGAACAGCCACTAGATTTAGCAATGTAGAGGTGACAGATAATCTAGAAAAGAGCTGTTTCCCCAAAGTGATGAGTAGAGGCCAGACTGGAGTGGTCAGCATAAACGCAGAGAATTCCAATAAACACAGCAGATGAAGTATGTTTTTCTTTCTTAGTCATTCCTGAAAATCCATGAACATGACCCCCATCCCCGTGCAAGAAATAGCAATAAAAAAAGGATAAATCACAAGCACAAAGCAAAGAGAGTATGAGACATACGAATCAGTTTTCTGTACCAATAACTGGTAGGACTGTGTGCTATTGAAAAGCAAGCTAATTTCCACTGAGGGAACTGTAGAAACCACATATCACAGAAGATAGCGTTGAAAGATGGAGATGGACAGGAGGATTAGCTGAAAGCCTATGAAAGTAATCTGTTCCTCTAGGAAACAACAAAAAAACACCTCCCCCGATGCTGCAGAAAACTGGAATTTTGAACCACACAGACTTAAGACCAGCAGTAAAAACAAGGAGTTAAGTAAAATTCTACAAACTTTCACAAGTGTGAAACATTTCCAACCCTTCTCCCCAGCTGCACAAATCCAGAACACAATATTCTGGTTTTTACACATTCTCTATGCCTCAAGGCAGGAGATTAGAGGACTGTTCTCTAGAGAAAACCGGCTGAAGAGAAAAGATCTATAAATACTAACACTTGTAAATCTCAAGAAAATGGCTGGGTCTCTGTCCTTATATCTAATGGTAAAAGTCCCTTGGTTGGTAAGGTTCAGTCATTCATACAGAGCTTCCAATCTTTTCTGAGGGAAGTGAAAGTCGTTCAGTTGGGTCCAACTCTTTGCGACCCCGTGACTAGAGCCCATGGAATTCTCCAGGCCAGAATACTGAGTGGGTAGCCTTTCCCTTGTCCAGGGGATCTTCCCAACCCAGGTCTCCCGCATTACAGGTGGATTCTCTACCAGCAGAGCCACAAGGAAGCCCTTGTGTCCTTATATCTAACAGTAAAAGTCCCTTGGTTGGTAAGGTTCAGTCATTCATATAGCTTCCAACCAGTTTTCGGGGGGGGGGGGTCTCTCTGCAAAACAAACAGCCAAAGAACAACTGACATTCAAGAAAAGCCTCCAACATGAGAGGAAACCAAAGCAGACCAAGAGAAGAAACTTGGAAAAAAGAAATGTGATGCAAGAAATGGTAATAAGTAAGTAAATAAAATAAATCCAAACTTAAAAAAATGCCAAGGGAAAAAAATAAGATAAAATCAGAATGCAAGAAAGAGCTCTTAGAAATTTTACAATCAAAATAAAAGCTTTAATAGAAGGACTGTAAGATAAACCTGAAGAACTCTCAGAAAACAAGACAGTAAAAATAGTAATATTAAAAGGTTAAATCAGAATACTTGACTAACTGAAGTACAAGAATGAGAACTCAAAATAGAGAAAAAAGTGAAGCAAAACCTCTGGTCAAGATGGAACCATAAACTCTCTTCCAACTAAGAATACCAACTCAGTAAATTTCCTCAAAAACTATACTGAAAATAAAAAAGCAGACTACAGATGAAACTCCATTATTAATTCCATCTTTAGGGCACTTAAAAATATGCAAAACCACACTACTATATGGATTTATAAATATAAGGTAGTATAAAACAAGCCCAGGCATGAAAAATACCCAATTCAGGAGAGGGAGGGTGCTGGGGTACACATGAGGCTTTGACTATAGAATTTATTTATTTAAGAATAAGAAAGAAAGAAAAACTTATCAAAAGGTCAAAGTCAAGATTTGTTAGATAGGGGTGGTGAATGCACGAATCTTTTAAAAATTATTCTGTGCACTTTTCAGTATGGTTAACATTAAAAAGTGAAATTTCTTCCCATGATATGCCAGTTCTGATTAGAGAACAAAAGTTCTGATGAGATGTGAAAGGCCCAGAGCCAAATCCCAGCCTCATTCATCGGTGTATCCTACACAAGTAGTACACAGTAGATGCTAAATACTTATTGAATTACCCACCATACATACACCTAAAAACTCAAGACCAATCAACTTCTAAGAACACATCAGCACCCAATATTGACAGACAGAAGAGATAGAGAACAACGTCATCCTGGAATAAAGTTCTCTACACGGCGCTGTCCTGGAGCAAAGCTTCCCCATCAAGGTGGGCCAACACAGAACCCGCCAGGCCTGGGGTTGAGGAGGGGGCGTCGGCGGGCCCCCTCCATGCCGTGAGCAGCACAGTCCTAGACATCCTGTGGTTTTCCCAAGCTTTCTTACTCAGATTTCAACCAATGTCCACGATGGGCGCGATGAAGACTCCAAATTAAAAAGAAGCCGAGGCGCGGGCGGGGAGTCGGGCCGACCTGGGTTCGAATCCCTGCTCGGTCACGTCCTACCTGAGGCCTACTTAGGACTACTTAGGACGGTTGCCCAGCTTCCCTGTTCGACTTATTCGTCTTTAAAATGTGGGGCTAATACAAGTATTCACGTCACAGTGCTGCTATGAGGTAAAGCTGGATAGAACGATAGGTCTTTCGTTCAACTTGAAAGTGAGGCAAGCAGCGGGCACTCCGTGGGACAAGTTACTTGCACATGAAGAGTCCGAGGTCCCTGGAGAGCGACCAAGGACCTCTGACTCCGGGCCGGCGAACTCTGCTCCTTCCAGGAATCCGGAGTTCCTTCCGGCCCCGCCCCGCCCCGCACCTCGGGGGCCGCCCCAGCAGCCCCGAAAGCACGGGAATTTAGGTGCCTCGGCCCCGACCGTTGGGGCCGCCCGGAGCGGCCAAATCTCAGACCACCGGGTTCAAGCCCTCCTCGCCCCCAGCCCAACTCGGGCCCTGCGTCCACGGACCCAGGGGAAGTCGTCCCGGACCCAGATGCCCAAGGCCTGGGGAGAGGCAAGTGCCCACCTCACCTGAAGCCAGAGCACACGGTCAGACTCGCCAGGTCGCCGGAGGCGCAGCAACCCCCTTAGAAAAACTTGCCAGACTGGCTACTATAGCCACTTGCCCGCAGCTCAAGCTGCCCGCTCGAAGTGCTGGCTCGGTCTGCTCCTATTGGGCAGCAGTTCCAACTGGTAGCCAATAGCCTCTCTTCTTCTTTCTTTGGTCGCCGGCTGACTGAAACAGCGGCGCTCTCATTGGCTGACCCTTCGTAAACGAGGTAGGCAGGACCTTGCGCAAGGAAGCCTCGTACAATTGGTAGAAATCAACGTCCGTCAACACGCGCCCAGCCCCCAAAGAGAAAAACGGAAGAAGGCGTTTTACCGCTCTTTATTTGAACTTTGTGGCGGGAGAAAGTCGTAAGGGAAAGATTTCTTAGTCCATTTTGAAAAGATGAAAATATTCAAACTGTGCCTCATGCTGTTTCTCCTAAAGTCTTTGGCGAAGAAGATGCCTGTCACCAAAGCCAACCTTAGCACTGTAATTTTTTTTCATCTTCCTGCCTTTAAGGGAGCTTCTCCTGAGCAATGGAGAAGGAAATGGCAACCCACTCCAGTATTCTTGCCTGGAGAATCCTATGGACGGAGGAGCCTGGTAGGCTACAGTCCACAGGGTCACAAAGGGTCGGACAACGAC